TTGGGAGAAAATGGGGATTAGGCTGAATCTGGCTTCACATGGAAGATACCCAGGAATCCTTCAAGATCCGAAGAACATGGTCGAACGCATTCCCCAACATGCCTCCAGAGAGCTTGACCAAGAGCATTTTGGGGAACAACTTCTTCAGTGGATCTTTGGGGGAAGTCAGCCGCTCACTGGCCTGCAACAAATCGTCCAACAGGAGCAAAACCATGCACAACAGCAGATGCTCATTGCCACCAATCATGAATTTCGTGAATGGCTGGAGAAAGCACATGACAAATGCCTTCGAGGCCTCTTCCGAAGCCTCCGCCAAAAGGACCACGCGTAGAGGCCATTCCAAGATCTACCTCCCACTCAGCGCACTGAGGCAAGGGAGCAGCAGTGGGGAGCCATTTGGATCAGAGACTTAGGCATCGATGCAACCAACTCTCAAAGGAGAAGGATCACATAGATCAAAAAGAGATTCCTCAAAGGACGTGGTCGAGCAGGGGTCATGCACCCTCTCAAATTGGCAGCGGCCACCAAACACAGACTCCATCGAGGAGCAGTACATCCAGCGATGACCTGGGGTGCCCAGGCAAACGGGTTGGCCCCACAACGGCGACAGCAAATCAGAGCGATGGGCGCCAGAGGCTTGGTCTGCAGAGATCAGGGTCAGTGGATGTGGTCTTTGATATGCACCCCAACAAGCCTGACCCGGAAGACTCCATCATCATCCCAGCACATCCACACGGTCTGGAAAGCCCTACATTCAGCAATACTCTCCAGAAGATCACCAGTGACAAAGTGGCCACTGGCATAAGGGCACTACATCAGGGCTGACCTTCACTCACTTGCTCTGGGAGTGCAGCTTCTGGGAAGGAAGAGTTACCAGACCAATGGCATGAACGCATCCAGGCCAATTCTGAGCCCGAACTTTGGAATCGCGGGATGACCCAATCCATCTTCTACATCCAAGATGGGGGCATGGCCACTTTCACAGGTGAAGGACTCTGGAACGATCTACACGCCTGCAATTTGCCGGCAGGGCTCCGACGTCCAAGGGCGCCAGACACGCTATGTGTTTGCCATTTGCATTCACCAAGTCTTCGCCAAAGAGCGAGTCGGGCCTCTCACGGGAATATGCCCAGGCACAGCTTCCAGGCTTCGCGCCCTCTTCTATGGCCTCAAGCACCTTTTGCTTCATATCAGGGACAAAGTGCATGCGGCGGTGTTCAACCATGCCATTTGGAAATCCTGGTCCTTCATGGCTGCTCATGAGAAATTACCTGACCTCACCCAGGGATTGGAACATGAAGACTTCGACCAAGTCAGGCTCTTGCTTTTTGACCGCAAAGAGATGGACTCCAACCTTAACAGGAAAGCATTCCAGCAAGACACTCCAGCGAAAGCCACCCAGACGGCTTTACTAGCTTGATTCAGCGCCACATCGATGAGGACACTCGGGACATCCTCTGTGTGGCTGGGGCCCGCATGGACATCCTGCTCCGGGACAAAGAGCACTTTCTCCACAAGAAACCCCTGCAGGAAACCAACACGAAAGTTCCCATGGCGCAACAAAAGAAAGAGCTCTTGGCCTGCTATCTGAAGGCACCTCAAGGCCATGGACACCAGTGGACAACCCACCGGTCAGGAGTTCAGTGCACTCAGCGCAAACAGCGAGCCTGTGAAAGCATCCAAGAAGACTCGCTTCGAAGTCATCCATGATCTCTTGGAAAGCCAGGGAGAAGCTCAGCCCACCTCCACTGCACACAATGCAGAGGATATGTGCTTGCCAGGGCTGGTGAAGAGATCTTCAACCGCTTCTTGGGTGAAGTTTGCCACAACGGACCGCTTGCTGCTGAGCTCTGGCAGGGCCATCCAACTCATCAGATGGTCAGAGTTGGGAACACCGCTGAATGTGGACGCTGTCATGCCCGCAGCAAGGTCCACAGTGGGACACTGGCACTCACGCCGAAGCTCCGGGCCGTCTGCAAACATCAAGTTTGCAAGGACATCCGAACCATGCTGGAATGAGACCAGCTGCTCGCCAACAGCTGAAAAGAGCCGGACAAAAAATACATACATACATACATACATACATACATACATACATGCGTACATGCATACACGCATACATGCATACGTGCATACATACATGCACACATGCATACATACAAACATACGTACATACACATACATACATACATACATACATACATACATACATACATACATACATACATACATACATACATGCATGCATGCATGCATACATACATACATACATACATACATACATACACACAAACATACATACATACATACACACACACAGACACACACATACACACACACATACACACGCATACACACACATACATACACATACATACACATACGCATACATACACATACGGGCTCAAGATATATGGCTCAAGGGACCAGGTGGCTCAAGCATCCGCGCTTGGGCTCTACACGTCTACTTTCAGCACGTCCCTGCCAAGGAGACCAGTGGCCTCTGCTTCGACAAGCACCATGGACTGGGGCAAGCAGAGGACCTACCCGATCTGTCCAACGAGTACTTGCCGGAACTGGGTTTGGGAGGACAGGACCCAACCAGGCTTTACCTGCCGCCACTGCAGAGCAGCCTGGCAGCAACCAGCGCACGGACATGCCATGAAGGCTCAAAACTACAAGCCGGGCAGACGGTGGCAAACCCGCAAAACCAAGTCCTTGACTCCTCCTCCAGGTCTGACCTACAGCAGATCACCAAAGCCAAGCCGGCTCCAGAAGAATGCGGCGGAGATCTTAGCTCCTGCCTGGGACTCCATGGACGAGAACGTGAAAGCCAAGCTGACAGAACTTGGCATCAATCCCACTCTCAAGGCAACCAAGCCTGACCTCACGGACGTGGTCAACGAGAACCTCGCCAACCTTTCGGGAGCCGTGAAAGGAATTGGTTGAACGGATCACCAAACCTCAACCAGAGTGCAAGAAGGACAAGCTCAAGCAACAGGTCTCTACCTTGAGAGACATCTCGCACCGGAAACAGCACTACCAGGACCTGTTGGGAGAGCCCTTTGCAGTCTCTGGACACTGAGATGAAAGACTCGGTCCCGGAGGCAGTTTCAGGTTTCTTGAGCACGCTTGGACTCAACCTCACTCAGGAGCAAAAAGACCAGCTGCATGTCATGTTTAAGAGACCTTCCAATGAGGCAGACATGTCAGAGGAAGAATCCAAACGCCGCAAGACAGCACCAGGCAGTCAAACGTCGGGCGGGTAACATCTTTCCCACTCCTGACCTTGATCTTGACTTGCAAATCATGGGGACTAGCTCATGGACTCCTGTCCATGACATGGGGCTGCACCAACATGGGTGGAGGGGTTTTGCACTTCATGTTGATACACCTATGCAATCAGGCTCAAGACTGAGCCAGCCTTTTCCCACCTTGGGCTATGGGCATTGACGAGCTCTCTCAAAGTCCTTGGCCGGGCAGTTTTGCACCAAACCACAGAGGCATCAGATCAGGCCGACACTGAGGCACCGAGCTCATCTACATCAGAGCAGCTCCCCAGGGAGACTGCTATTTTGGGGACCTCAGCTGTCCAAGCCTTGATCAGGATGCTTAAGCCTGAAGAAGAAGAGGATACAAATATGTCCTTTGAACAGCAGACGCTCTTTGACCTCTGCCTACGTGACCTGAACAACTCGAGTCAGGCCTGCGGCAAACTACGCAATCTTCACAACGGGCAGCAACTGCTCATGGATCTCAAACGCATGCAAAATCTGGTCCACAAGCATCTCAGTGTATCAGGAGAAGCGGAACACTCGGTTGCCAACATCTTCGTGGTCTCTCAGTGTCTCACGAGCATCCTCAAGAACCCCAAGAACCAGTGCTTTGGCAATGCTCCCTGGAGATGCTGGTGCTGGGCTGGGGCTTTCGCAGAAGAAGCCACTCAAGCGTGGGGGAGAACCCACTAGGCAGTCAGACAATATCTATTTGACAGCGAGCCTCAAAACCTTGTTGGCCTCCATGACATGCAGCATGTATGGGCACCTTTCGTGGATGAAGCTCAGGCTGATGCAGCGGATTTCCTCCACTCCCTTTGGTCCTTTGCTGCCGGCACCTTTGAGGGCAGGTTCTTCCATCGCAGCGTGAAAGGACACCTAGAAGAAAGGGACCAGTTTCCCCTCAATTTGATCTTTCCTGACGATCCACAGCCTGCTGATCTGGACGCCCTCGTCAATGCGTGGGCGGATGAGGGATGTGGATTGGTTCTCAACCTTCAGAGATCCACCTTGCAGCAGGGGCAATGGACCAAACACCACAGGGAGATTGACATTCCCACAAGGGTCCAAATTCCCTTCTCAGAGGATGGCATCAACGTTCTACATCAAGGAGAAGGCCATGAGAACGCTGGCCATCGACAACGCTTACTGGCTCAGTGATGATGAGGCCTAGATTTCTCAGGTGTGCTTGGCGCTATCTGAGGCAGCCGAACTAGTACCAGACACCGCCATAGAAGTGGCCGAGTCCTTGCACAAAAAGCCCACTTCAGTGCGCGTGTTGCACTCCTACCACCCAACTCTTGTTTTGGCGGCGAAGCGCACTGATGCTCTGGCTTCTTTGAAGTCCAGGCCCCTCTGGCATCCTTTTGATGCCTCACCCGGCCAGGGCGGCTGCGGGTGGGAAGGCTCAGAAACCTTCGGGCCAAAAGGACTTGGTCGTGCAAGACCTTCACAAAAGTAACGGTTATTTCTAACCTCCAACTTCAGTGCGCGTGTTGCACTCCTACCACCCAACTCTTGTTTTGGCGGCGAAGCGCACTGATGCTCTGGCTTCTTTGAAGTCCAGGCCCCTCTGGCATCCTTTTGATGCCTCACCTGGCCCACCTCTTCATCTAAAGGTGGTCACATCTCCAACCGCGGCCATCTTCTTGGGGACTGCGCTGACCGACCCCCCGTCGAAGAGGTAGCGCTGCACCGCAGAGGAGGACCACCTTCCCGCTCGCTTCACCAACTCGATGTCGGCCGTCGACTGGAACAAAGCTGATGCCCACCAATCCTCAAAGAGTGGGACATGAACCTCCCTGGCGGCAAGCCCACTCCCACCGCTGCCTCCTGGAGGAAGTGCTGGATCTCGATCCTCTTGATGACCTGGCCGTTGCTCCATCTGAACAAAGGCTTGGTGCTCTCGGCATGGCCTGGCAGGAACCGCATCGTCCAGACTTGCCTCATACGGTCCAGTGCTTCGACTGGGCAAAGATGCTTCCTCCCCGTGGCCTGCAGCGTCTTGGTGTCCCCGAAGGCCAGCTGGTCATTCTTGGTCTTCCGGAAGAAGAGGGAGATCTCCGTCGCCTCCCCCACCGGTTTCGCCACTCCTTGGTGAGAAAGGCGGATGTCGCAGCCCCTCGTGATCATGCTCTCGTCCACTCCGTTCGACTCCCCGAACTCCTTGGCCCTCAGCATGAAGAACCACGCCAGCTCCAAGGCCGCCATGACCATCACCGCCTCCGCGTACGGGATTGAATGCCGGTCATTCACTAATGGGTCGACCAGGTTCTCGCCCAACCATACTAACATCTCAGGCGTGACCCCCAAGCGCCGTGGCTTCCTGGTAGTCGACCTCCGGTCCAAGGCGTTGACGAGGATCCACACGCGGTGCATTCCGTCCAAGGGGTCGCCCCTGCCACTCCTTTTGTGTACCATCTTCATCGCGAAGATGTGTTGACGGATGGTATTGGGCGAGGCGCCCAGCCATCCCAGGTAACCCACGTAGGCCAGTACTCGGTTCTCGTTCTCAATCGGGTCCACGTTGCGGTTGAGGAACTCATCCGGCCAGCCCTGTCGTCTAGCCCAAGCACACCACTTCATCCATGCCCCGCCATAGGCCTTCTCCGTCGCGGCACTCTTGTCCCCCGTCATGTTCTCTTCCAGCCATTCATCGACCCTTTCGCGAACATCACCGCAAAACGGAGCGAGACTCTTGGTGAGGTGAACAGCCTGGGCTCCCACCTTCTCGGCAACCTTGAGCGGGTCGGTCTTGGCTTTGGTCCGTCCGCCTGCATAGGAACCCTTGATCTCGTTGGCGAACTCCAGGGTGTAGGCCTCATCCTCCTCCTCCTCGTCCATGCATTGAGCCCACCACCACGCCTCCGACCACCTCCACAGTCTCCTCAGAGGTGGCCCCGTGCCGCCACCAGCCCTGGTGGTGTCGGCCTGATAGGACGGCGGGTTCCGCCTCAGCTCTCCTCTCTTCCACCTTCTGAGCCACAGCAGGATCTGGGCCATGGCCTCTGCTCCGGTGGCGTCCGGCATCATCCCGGCCTTACCCGGGTTCAGTTCCCCCGCTTCCCGGGCGATCAGCTCACAGAGGATTTGGCCTCCCATGGTTACCAGGTTCGCGGCAGTTTGAACTCCCGTGGCTCGGACCCCCTCGATCACCGCAACCTCGGCAGGGATGTTGGCTGGTAGGTCTCGAAGCTGACGCCCTTGTAGAACCCATAGTTCCTCCGGGTCAAGACGACGAACATGGCCTCCAGGTCCTCGGCGATCGTAGACGTAGTAGCCCTGTAGACTGCTCCCGTCGTCAGACAGTAGGGGCCACCGACCAGGGCCTCCAATCCCATGGATCACCTCCCGTTCTTCGCCCCACCAGACATGACCTGCGGGTTGAGGTAGCATTCGATCTCTCGGGATGCCGCTCTCCAGCTCCAAACGCAACGGCTTGGTCCAACACAGGTCATGGTGCTCCTTTGGCTTCAGCAGTGAACTCATCGGTGCTGGGCCCATAGCTCTGACCAGAAACTCCTCCCATGCCTCAGGTAGAGCACCATGTGGGTTCACCACCAAACACCGCCTCCTCCTCGTCAACGCCTCCCCATTCTCGGTGGTGATGAAGTCGACGATCCCATAGCCCCATCCCCGGCTCTCGCAGTGTCGCTGCCCTCGCTCCCAATCGACCTTCCCAGGCCCTTCGACCAGTCCCAAACGAGCTCCCTCATGTTGAAGGTTGCGGAGGTACTGCTCCATGCGCTTCCCTTTGTAGTCCACTCCGAGCGTGGCGCACAAGAGCACCGGCCGGTCCCCAGCGTCCTCAATGGCCGCGCCCAAGGCTCCTCCCAAGGCCTCAAAATCTTTCAGCCACCTTCCAGCGGGGGTCCACTCCTTTACGGCGAAGGCCTTCCAAGGAATCTCGAGTTCCCTTTGGATCTGTTTTGACACCCTTCTCTCACGGAGCTGGAGTTGCAGTGCGCGATCACCTTCTTTCTCTGGCCCCCAAAGGAAGCATGCTCCATACCGGGCCGAGTCCTCCAGAGCGCCGTGGATCGCCGCAGAGATGTCCAGCACCTGAAGGCCCTTCTCCTTCACGAAGTCCTCGAACTCCGCCTGGGTGCACCGCGTGATGAAGTCCGCATGGACGTTGTGATAGGTCCGCCACCATCCGCTCACGACCGTGAAGTTGTACTTCATCTCCGCCAGGTTGAGGGCCCTGATGAGGATTCTCCCCCCTCGGGTGTTGCTCTTCCGGGATTGTAGCCAATTCTTGACGATGGTATTGTCCCCGCCATAGGCCACTACTGCCCCTTTCCACTGGTCCCCAGCTGCACATGCAAAGGCAACGAAGGACAGCATCTCACCCAGGTGGATCACGAGGTCGGTCTCCTGATCCCCAATCTCATGGTCTGACAGAGCCCGAGCGGCCCACGCTTTCAATGTCCCGGTGGGAAGGCGTGTTACCTGTCTGTTGGTCCAATCGATGGCTCCCACCATCGTAGGCGTAGCGTCGGACGACACCCAAATGACCTTTTCCCACTCTCCAGGCAAACTCAATCTCTCCATAGTGGGGAGCATAGATCTCAAGCCGGTGGCAAAGGATTCCCATCGATCCGTCCGCGCACTCAGCCAACGGCAGACCTCGAAAAGCTCCCATAGATCCTCCCATGCCCGGTCTGCCTCCCAGGCTTGGCTGCCTTCTCCACGTAGTCGGGGATTCACCTTCTGATGCCCGTCACGACCCGCAAGGAACTTGTCCGCCGCCTTGAGCTCGTTCACCAGACCCTTCACGATGGCTGCCCATCCGGTCAAGATGCCTCTGAACTGTTGTAGCTGCTTCAGGGTGACCTCCTTGGAGCCGTAGTCAAAGCAGCTGTCAGCTAGAAGGACCGCTCCTTTCTGAATGCGTCGCTCTGGAAGCGTAGCAGTCTCGTCCTCCGTACACATGATCACCCCCCAGACCGTTTGTGCGGTCTTGAAGCCTCCTTCCACCTTGTCCTTCTCCTCATTCACCGCCTTGTTCCCCAGGAGCGTCCTGATGCCGTGCTCAAACACCTCCGCGCTCACCCACGGCCTCAGTCCCACCCAGGGCTCCACCAACACTCCGTCGTCGACGAGGACCTTGCAATCGAACCCATGGCCCATGTCTCTCCGTGGAACCGCCGGGCGGTGAGCTCGATGGAATTCCTCCGTGCTACGCCCCCATACAGTCCATTCTCCCGGGCTACCACTGAACCCGAAGCTGGAGACCAAGTAGACCACCGTGATGTCGCCGCCTGGGACGCCCTCCAAGTGAATCTCTTCATCTGTGGCGTTCGGAAAGGCCTTCCTCGGGTTCCACGGCAGCTCCCCGGCGAACAACTCTACATCCTCCGGGGCGACCCATAGAAGCCTAAAAGCCCCAGAAATGTCCTTCTTGGACAGGAGGACCGGCAAGCCCGGGCACCGACCCTTAGCCCATAGGATGCGCTTGGCGATCTGCGAGTGTGTAGGTTGAAGGGCCGGCGGGTGAAGGAACTTGTTCGTCCCATGGTTGATGGTCCTCTGGTCGTGGACCACTCTCACCTCCTCCGACACAGAGCGATCTGGTTTAAGCTTCTGCACCGCCTCAAACGGTGAGGCCATCGTCCCGCTCAGCTGGGGCATCATGGCGCTGACTACCAACACCCTCTGCTTTCCCACATCCTTGGCGACCTGGGCGAAGACCTTGTCAACATGGCGTCGTGCATTGGGGTGAAGCTTCGCAAAGGCTCTGGTTCGAAGCCCTTGGAACCTGGCCGCCATGCCATATCGTCGAACATCCCGGAGATACTCCAGCAGGTGGGGGTGTAGCACCCGGTCAAGCTCCGGGTCATCCACCTGGGCCAGGTTCATCATGCCGGCCTTCTCCCTTACCTCCCAGAGGCTTTCAGCAGCTTGGCGCACTCCACCCGCGACCTCAACCAGCTTGTTGCCCGCCCGTAGCACGGCTGCCCAACCATTAGGAGTGTTGTCAAAGTCCCGCTCAATGGCCTTGACGTACTCCTCCGCTGCCTGCCGTGCTGCTGTAGTTGGTGCTTGGTAGGCCGAACCTGGGCCGTCCCGCGCCTCGCTCCCGGCGTAGGCCGTTGGGCCTGACTCCACTTGGACACTCACTTCTGGCCCTGGTCCGTCATCTTCTCCCGGGTCGGGTCCCTCATCCTCGTCTTCGCCCCACTCCCAGTCGTCCTCACACGGGATCGCCTCGTCGTCGACAACCGGCATCTCCTGGATGGTGAAGATGGTCACGCCCGTCCACCTGCCATAGCCTGGATCAGCTCCTCCGGCAGCCCGCCAATCATCAGTGATGACCACCTGGTTCGCCCCTTCTCGCAGATGGGTGACCCTCTCGTTGGTCAGGTGGGCCAGCGGTGTAGGGAGACCAATCTCTGACGGGGCCTGGGTTCATCATGAACTCTCCACAGTCGCCTGCGGGACGGGTTGTACTGCCACCTTTGAGGCGAGCCCCAGTGGTCGCCGGTCCGGTTGGGCTGGTGCGGTGAAAGTCCACACTGGTGGAGGGGCCCATTGGATCCGCCCAGACTCCTTGCAGGGTCTCCCCTTCTCCTCGGTCAAGATCTCCTCGAGATGGCTCGGCGCCTCGGGCGGGGGTGCCTTTGCCCTTTCCTTTCTCCCAAGCGATATCGCTCCGCCCTCGACAGGCCATACGGGTATTCCACCCTGGTGGACTTCCTCCCGCCTCCCTCAACGTCTGAGTTGGGCTCTGAAGTGGATGAAGACGAACTTCCTCCTCTAGCGAAGCTGAGCCAGCCGCCCTTGCCCTTTCCCCCTCCTGGTCTGGAACTCCCCCGCGGGGACCTTTCTCGGGCTCCAGCCGGAGCGGATGAGCTTCTCATTGGTCTCCACGGCATAGGAATCACCCGGTCCTTTGCTGAGATCACGGCCCTTGGGTGCCGCATCGGATTGGGAACCCCCCCTTCAGGGAACCCGAGCACCTCCAGTAACCCATCTCCGTGGCGGCTCGCAGAGTGGTTCACGAAGCCCATCGATTCCAACAAGCCATCCCCTCTGCCATCTCCATCGGGTTGATCGTTTCGTTGGACTCCGCCATCTCCGTCATGTCCTTGGACGCCTCCGCCATCTCCGTCATGTCCTTCGCCATCGTCTCCGGGTAGGTCTCCAGGTAGGTCATCCCCACCGTCCCCGCCAGCCTCTTCACGGTCACCAGGTAGTAGAGCACCTCCATCTTCTCCATCGTCTCCGCCTCGATCCCGAAGACCGCCTGCTCGATGACCATCTTGTGGCGGCAAAGCCAGACCCCCCCCCAACGAAGCTTGGAGCACCGCCACCACGACTGACACAAAGTTCTGGGCGTACACCCCGGCTTCAGTACAGCGAGTGACGGTTTGGCCGTCGCGACAACCCTTCAATCCGATGTGCCGGTGGGAGGTTGACAGGCCCGGACAGACTCGCCGGAGCGCCCGCCGTAACGGTGGATGCAGTGGGAAGACCACCCTAGTCTTGTGCACATAGAAATGATCTGGCTCATCAGGGGGACCAAGACCAAAGGCGCACATGGGCAGGTCAACATACTCTACGTCCGGCCGGTTGAGGATGCGCTTCCAACACGGTAGGTCCCATTGCTTGGGGTACCGACCACTGACCCCACTGGACTCGACGAGAGGGAAGGCGCCAGAATCCAACGAAGCCTCAAAGAGCTCAGCAGCGTGCATACTCAAGATGTTGCCCGTTGCCTCAGTTGCCGCTAACGGTCCCTGCCCAGTGCCCTCGGGACACTCGAAGGTGCGAGTCCCGCCATTCTTCTGCTGCCAGTCACAGTAGCTCGTGCAAGGGGCTGCAATCCAATGCACATTTGAAGGTCCGGTACGCACCTCTGCCAGAAATTTATTGTGGACATCCTTTCGACTCAAGTCAAAGTGTGCCCTGTAGCCCTGCTTGTCGTGGGGACGCTCGTAGACCTCGACTGGCTCCATGATCGGGCTCGTCTTGCTCCACTCCGCGGAGATGCCACCTTTCCCGGCAAAGAACTCCCTTAGCACCAGCTGCCCCGGTTCATGTGGCTGACCTGCACCCCGAACTGCCCGAATCACATTGTGGTCGTGGTGAATGTCCATGGTTCCTCCAGCGGTGGCGGCTGTGTAAGACAGGCAGCTATGCCTTGGCGCGTTGAGCGACTCCCCAGCTTTGCGACCTGCTTTGCACAACCTGCAGAAGATCTTGCCTGGTGCGGTGGGAGGTTGATCATGACGAGCATGCCAAAAGAACGTGAACCCCATCGCAGGCGTGGTTTGGGGGTCCTCTCTGGCCAGGAAGCGCTCCAGGTCGTAGCCGTCCGGTGGTTCCAGAAGGACCATGTGGCCCTTCCAAATCAGTGCGAAGGTCGTCCAACCCCCATCTATCCAGTTGGACCCAATGATGCACTCCACGACCAAGCCCCCCCGGTAGTCCGCCCTGAAAACCACCAATCGGCAATCCGCAAGGGCTTCCAAAGGGAAGACCGCCAACGAGCGAAAGTCCTTCTCGTGGTGAGCTGTAGTGAGGTCGTGGATGTAGGTCCTGACTTCGTGTTCCACAGCTGCCACCATCTCCTCCGCCTCGCCGATGGTGTTGGCCGCATCCACTGCTAGCCGCGTCTGCTCCAACCTCAGGCTTTGTGCTCTGGTCTGAACCTGCTCCACCGACGGCCGTCGGCCCTTCTCCTTCCACTCAACCATAGCCGCGATGGTGATGGTCACGCACTGCCGCCGCTCGATGGACACCTCCGGTAGGTGAAGAAGTGCTGCCAGGTCCTCCGTCATCATGACGTCCTCCTGATAGTCCCACAGCCGCCAAGTGGTGCCGTCGAGTTCGACGCTTCCTTGCCCTGGTTGCCCCTCTGCCCACAGGGTGTCTCGAACCACCAGCCGAGCCGAGCCTGCTTTAGTTCCTTCCCGTTGCTCCAGTAGTTCAGCCGCTTCTCGTGCAAGCTCTCCCATCCCATAGGTCGCCATTTCCTGAAGAAGCGAAGAGAGTTCGACTCCGGGTTCCCTGGCAACCCTAGCAGCGGCCCATGCGTACAGGTCGTCAGTGGCTCCCTCCAGTGCCTGGAGAGCGGGGGACTTTCCTAGCTCCTGGGCTTTCTGGACCAGGTGCTTCGCTTCCTGCGGTGCCGAAGTACCATCCCGACCATGATGAGGTGGAAGATCACGATGAACATCTCGATGCCATGCATAGTCCGGCCCTTGAATCACATCCTTGAGGTCCTCGCCCTTGGTGTAGTCGACTTCGAACTCCTCGGGGACGTCCCAAAATCGCACCTTTGGCCCTTCTCCTCCAGCTCGGCCATCTTCCGTTACCTCCTGCCCTCCAGATTCTGTCCCGACAGCTGCCGTGGTGCTCCCAGCTTTCGCTCGCTTCTTTCCGTCCTGGATCTTGTCGGTCTTCTCGACCCGCATCTTGGACCGGATGTCTTTGATCTTGGTGGTCACGGTGTCCGGTTCAGCCCGCCTCTTTTGAGGAGTTGCATTTGCGCACACGGGTCCAGATTCTCGAAAGAGCCGCGAAGTCCTTCATGGGAGCGCTGACAACCCGTCGTCTGGCAGCCAATGTGGCACAGGTTTCCCCAGCAGAGCAACTTGCCGTGGCGGTCCAAAGGGGCCCGATCTTTGGCCATTCCGACCTCCTCCGGAGTCAACTTGGGCCCCCACAACGACTTGAGAGTGGGCTTGGACTGCGAGCTCAAGCTTCCTGCACTCTCCCCTGCTCCTCCTGCCGGTGCTGCCGGGTTGCGATCCTTCCGCGCCCCGCCCTGCCAAGTGAGATTCCATAAGAGGCGGTCCTGCTTCCTCTCGATCCTTGGGAGGACCTCAGTCTGGAACCACGAGTCGGGCTTCTCAATGTCGAAGGTCGTGGGCATCACCAGCCATGCCTGTCCATCTGGTCCAGGAAGTAGCGCATGGAACTTGAGCTCGGTAAGGCTGATCGTCTCCCTGCCAATCTCCTTCTTGAGGCTCCGAAGCACGTCCTTGAGCTCCTCCAGAAATCGCCAGTGAATCTCCTCCCAGATGTCGATGACTATGGCCAGCGGCCACCTGTGAGGATGGGACAGATGCCACTCCGACAAGAGGTTGAGGGCGTTGTTCCGTACGGCCCTCCATTCCTCCCCATAAACCAGGCACCACACATCTGTCTGGCGTCGTACTCGGGCGGTCCACTCATCAAACCTGGACGGAGGAGGAGGTCTTTGGTCGGTGTTCTTCATCACCTTAGCCTCAGACGCAAACTGGTCGAGCTCAGCGTCCGTGTAGGAAAGGAAGTCCGCAGCGCTCAGGCCATACTTCTCCTGAATGCCCCAGTACGGCCCTGCAATTCCCACTGCCAGCCGGGTTGACATCCTTTGGCGGAAGCCTGCTGCTCGGAGCTTGGTCGAGGCTCCTACCTGAGCGGACAGCAATGAGTTTGCTAGTGCCTGGCCGTGCTCTTCCGCACCAACACGCACTTGATACTGGCCACACGCCCGAAGCAAGAAGACCAGTTCTTCTGATTGTTTGTTGAGCCCACGGATTGTACCGGGAACCTGACCTCCTGCTCCTTCGGTTTGTTGGCGAACCAAAGAGGCCAATTCTGCTGTTTGATGTTGGATCGCTTTGGCAATTTGGACAACGGGTTCTGCAGTAGGTCCACTGTCGGTCCTGGCTCCGGCTCTGGTGTCAGGGCGATAGATTCCCGGGGGTGCCACTCGTAGTCCATCCCCTCGCTTCTCTTCCACCTGAGGCATCTGCTGTCCCCGTTCTGCCAGACCAGGGGGAGGAGCAGGCTCAGACGTAGGTCTCGTCCTGGATGCCGAGGTCCTCAAAGACGAAGCTAAAGGCAGTGATGTAGCTCTATCCCCATCCTTCTCCGGAGTATCCCCAGGAGACGCGGCTTGACTGCCACCTTCCACCATACTCCAGTCGCTACATCCCTCCCCTTCTCCGTGAGGCCTTCCCAACCTAGCCAGCTCCTTCCGCCACGTGGTCAAGAAACGTGACAGCCCCCTCTGTCCTTGCGCCTGCTCATTCTCCGCCTCCCCAACCAGTTGTCGAAGAAGATCACCGGGTAGTAGCAGGCGGTCAGCTCCCAGCTTTTTACGCGCTTGGTCTTCACGGAGTCCATCAGCCTTCCCGGCCGCAAAGATCTCAAAGAACTCTTCCAGCAAGCTGCCGGCACCTTCCGAACCTGGCGACTCGAGCATCCCCATGCGGGATAGATTCCGACTGATGCTTGATCCTTTCGGAGTATGTCCAGGTGAGCGTGTTGTTCCCCTCCGACGTGGCGTCCTCTCCTTGCTCTCGGGCTCCTCACATTCACGAGCCCTTCCCAACAGCTTTCTCGCACGACCATGCCTATCCTCGTCACCGTGCGCCTCCTCGTTGTTGACCCCGTTCTCCTCATCATCGTTCTCCTCCTCGTCGATGTCCTCCGCCACTCGTGTACGTGACCTCGACCTGGATCGACGCGCTGAGGTAGAAGAGGGTCTCGTCGGTGTCAGGCTTGAAGGTTCATGTTCTGAACACCACACCACTCCATGCTGCAGCTTGTTGCCAAACCTTCTGCAAAAGGTCACGCTGCACTTGTCGGGATACCGTCGGGTCAGGTATTGAGTAGCATGATCCCCGCACAATGCCACAGCCCCGCACTGAGTGGGGACATCATCCTGGAGGAGTTGCCCAAAATGCTGAGCACGCACACTGCACGGCCGATTGGCCAGGCACTGCATAGTTCCATCAGGGCCCCGCCAGGTGACCAGGCTGCCACAGCAAACAAGGTGCTCCTCCTCTTGCTCCGATTCGGAACCCAATTCCCGAAGGCGATGCATCAACTGTGAAGTGCCTTCGGTCAACGGGGACCCTTTCAACCAGGCCCAGAAGTCGTGGGTCACCTTGCGCGCACCCTCCCGAGCTTGGGCCATCTGGAATCTTTCCGGGTCATTCTTTCGAACTAACCCGTACATGACGAAGTGCTCCCCCCCCTCTTCGGTGCAGGCCTCGTTTCGGCATAAGTGCACCTTCTCAACGTCCCGCAGCCGCCTCACCAAAGCCGGAGATCCGCGAATCGTGTTGCACTCCACAGGGACATAGAGGCCGTGGGTCTTGATGGACTGGGAGTCCATGCCGATGGCGAAGACAGCAGCATCTTCCCCTCTCTTCACCACCATGTACTTGGGCTGCTCACCGGACCTCTTGAATGCTCGAAGCTGGGAGGTTTCAGGTGTCCGTCCAGTGGCAGGGCCCAAGAACTCTGCTTCAGAGGCTTCTGGAGAGCCTCCTGTAACCCTTTGAAACCAGAACGCAAAGGCCCCAACTCCTCGTAGGACTTTGCGAAGTAGCCATGCCATCGCCATGCAGGCCCCGATCAGGAGCGACACAATGGGGTAGCACACAGCCCACACATAGTGAGCTACCAGGCAGAGCCCCAGCACCACCAGAAGAACCTGGAGGAGCCGGCGGCATCCGGTCCGAACCTTAGTCCAAGCGCTGCCAAAAAGTGCCCACCCGATCATGCCGAAGAGGGTGTCCACGACCATCCACAGCGCCACATCCCAGCTTCCCCAGGTCGAGGCTCCTTCCAACTCCCGACCCCAGCTCGCCAGACTAGCGAGCCACTCTTCCGTGGCGTTGAGCCTTCGCTCAGCACCTGGGAGCCACTCTCGAAGGTGCTGCCGCCACCCAGCCTGCTCCTCCAAGGGCTCCACCTCCGGTGGCCCTTCCGGGCCAGCCCACCAACCATGGCTTACGGCCGCAGTCGAGATGACCGCCAGCCGGAGCCACCACATGTGGCCGCGCCGACCCAAAAGGCTCAGAAACCTTCGGGCCAAAAGGACTTGGTCGTGCAAGACCTTCACAAAAGTAACGGTTATTTCTAACCTCCAAAAAGGCACTCGAAGTTCTCAACATTGTCTTCAGCAATGTTACCTTCAATGGCAAAAAGGTCCAAGATTGGATTTGGTCTCAGGGGGGATACCATCATGCTCTTCCAAGAAACACACCTGCAGCAAGAAGGGATGAACAACACCATGCAGTACTTCACCACACGTGGATGGAAATGTCATGGAGTAGCTGCGGAGCCCAGCAATGGTGGATCTACGGGTGGCTTCATCACTCTTCACCCAACGAGGCACCTCATCCACCACGTCTTTGACTACACCAAACAGGGCAACGGCTGGACTGCGCTCTGCTTGCAACGTCAAGGGCAGGACATCTACATCATTCAGATCTACCTCAGAACAGGAGAGACCTTGCAATCACCGCTCAATGCTGAGTTTTTGGGCCAATTGCTCCACTTTCTCAGTCATCTTCAAGCTCCCTTCATCATTGGGGAGACTGGCAAACTTCTCCAGATGAGCTTGCTGCCACCACCATACCTAGCAAGATGAGGGCGCGGATTGTGGCCACCCAGGGGCCCACCACTTTGCAGGGCAGTCACCTTGACTTCTGCCTTGTTTCCACCGCTCTGGCTAGCTCTATCAAAATCGAAGCAGATTGGGAAGTGCCTTGGAAACCGCACTGAGCGCTTTCTCTGCAGTTGAATTGCACCACGGGCGCTCTTCCGGTCCAGCAGCTCTAGAGATTCCCTCCCATTGCAAGGGCCTATCAGCTCCCCAATACCTGGACCTCCTTCCATGCATGAGGATGATGGACCTTTTTGAGATCATGGGCCGGCCTTGGGTCAGATTTAGCCAAATGGGCTACACAGACCGAGAAGTACCTCTGGCAAACTTTGCAGAAACCTACCACGGGCAGAGGATCCATGACAAGCTCCACCACGCTCCCTTGATCAATGCCTCCAAGCCTCAAGTCTGGAAGAAAGGCAGCGCGGCCTACTGGGACAAGATGGGTGCTCCACGACCTCCCGCAGATGCTTGACCGACTACCACAACATGCCTCCAAAGAGCTCGATCAGCAGAGCTTCGCAGAGCGGGTCACTCAATGGACCTTTGGAGCAGCTCTTGACCCTGCCGACCTGCGACATACAGTGGCTGCAAAAAAAGCTCACGACAAAGGTCTCCGGGGCCTTTTCCGCAGTCTGAGGCAGAAAGACCATAGCTGGCAGAGACCCTTCCAGGACATCCCTCACACTCAGAGGATTCAAGCAAGAGAACAACAGTGGGGTGAAATCTGGCGTCCGCTTCAAGAACCATGTCACATTCGAGGGCTTCAGGAACTGCAGAGACTTGCACAAGCAGCAGCGGCCCAATTACCACCGGTCGACACCGCCCTGCTGGGGAAACTGATGCGGAAGCTTCCCAACAAAGCTGCGGGGCCCGACGGGATCTCATATGACTTCCTTCGTCACCTTCCATATCCGGCAGTTGCTCGCTTAGCCTCACTTCTCACTGAGATGGAAAGAACAGCTGAGCTTCCAATCCAACTACGACGCACCAACATCGTCACGCTTCCAAAGAATGAGCGCATCGAGAGACCCATTGCACTCACCTCTTGCATCTACAGGCTTTGGAACTCCTACAAGAAGCACGAACTCCACAGATGGCAGCTCAGCCTTGATCAGGACATGCCATGGGACTACGCACGACCTCACAAAGACTGTCTTTCCATAGCTGTTGGTCGGATGCTCAAAGCTGAAATTGGCAAACACCAAGGCATCCACACGGTGACATGTCTAGCAGACCTCACCTGCTTCTACGACACTGTGCAACTGGACCAACTCATTGAACCAGCCACGGAATTGCACTATCCTCCTTTGCACTTGAAGCTGGCGCTGGATCTTTACACAGGTCCCAGACTCATACAAGCTCAGGGGTGTCCTCAAGCACCTGCAGTAGCCAAACTGGCTCTTTCGGCCGCTTCGAGCTTTGGTCCATGAGCATCCAGCTGTTCAGCTGAAGAGTGGGTGGATGACGTTTCCTATGACATCAAAGGAAGAGACCCTGACTATGTGGCCCGAGAAGCCGTCGAACACTCAAACGTCACCTTGAAGCCGCAGGTCTACGAGTCAACTCGGACAAAGCGGGCTTCATCACCAGCAGCAAGGAGGCAGCCAAAGCCTTGGACAGCAACCTCCAGGCCGGAGATCCACAGCATCACAACGTCCTCCGTGACTTGTTGGGCATTGATGCGACCAACTCCAGACGACGAAGGATCACACAGATCAAAAAGAGATATTTGAAAGGCAGAGGCAGGGCCGGAATCATGAGGCGCCTCAAGCTGAATCCAACAACCAAGTAAAGGTTGCACCATGGGGCTGTCCATCCGGTGATGACCTGGGGCGCACAAGCCAACCGATTCGCCCTCAAAGGAGGCAACAAATCCGAGTGATGGCGGCAAGAGGTCTTCGTCTGCAGCGGTCGGGCTCAGTTGATGTCGTTTTCGACATGCATCCAAACAAGCCAGATCGCGGGGATTCCATCATCCTCCAGCACATCCATACGGTATGGAAGGTCTTTCATGCTTTTGATGAAAGTGCCCAACATCTTTTCTGGATCAGCTGGAACTCGGCCTTGGATGTACTTCTCAAAGCCAAATACCGGTGGCAGGTAGTGACTGGGCTCTTGCAAGCACTTCAAGCCTACCTCCTTGACTATGATTTCGACATCTCCAATGGCAAGTTCTGGAAAAGAACGGGCTATGGTGGCATTCCAGACAGCCATCCCAGAGGAATTTCGCTGGCAACGTCTCTTCAGATTGACAAGGCACCATGGTTGCCACGATTTGGAAAGGCCATTAGATTGGACTGTCAGAAACACGCTCCAGAAGATCTCCACCGATCGCTTCAAGACAGCTCTGCGAGCTTTCCAGCAGGGCACCTTTCACGGCCAAGAAGGCAAATGTCCATTGTGTGGGGTCGAGCTCACCTTCATTTACCTCCTGTGGGAACGCACCTTCTGGGACGGCAAGGTCCCGGCATTGCCGGGTAAAACCGAACCAGAGCTTTGGAATAGGGGCATGACTCAGTCCATCTTTTACATCCAAGATGGTGGCATGGCAACCTTCAATGGAGAAGGCCTCTGGGAATCCTTGGAAGCCTGTGCTCTACCTGCACACCATGCCGTCTCTTTGGCCATTGCGCCAACCTGCAGAGATCCCAGACACAAAAGGTTTGCTTGCCTTTGCCATTTGCATCCATCACATCCAAACCAAGGAAAGAGTTGGATCCTTGACAGGAATTTGCCCAGGGCAGGCTCCGGGCCCTCTTCTACGGCCTCGAGCACATGTCACCTCACGGACAAACTCCACGTGGCTGTCTTCAACCAGGCCATTTGGAATGTATGGAACCCATGGGCTGCCTACGAGAAATTCCCAGACCTCAGTCAAGGACTGGAACAAGAGGACTTTGCGCAAATCAAACTCCTGCTCTTCCAGACCAAAGAGATGGACTCAAATCCCAACCGCAAAGCCTTCCAGCAGGACACACAAGCCAAAGCCACTCAGGCAGCACTCATAGCCAGGCCTGAGGAAATCATGATCTCCAACCCCACATCGACGAGGACACCCGAGACATCATGCACGTTGCAGCCAGACGAATGGAGTTTCTTCTCAAAGACAAGGCTCATTTCCTCCACAAGAAGGAGGTGCTGCAAGACAAGGACAAAGTGCCTCTCCTCCACCAAAAGAAGGCACTTCCCGAGCAATTCCTGGCTCAGCCAAATGCCCACGGCCATCAATGGGTGGCTTTCCGGTCTGGCGTCCAATGCAGCCAGTGCAAACAGCGTTGCCACTCCAAATCCATGCTCAAGGAGATCAAAGATGGCCTCAACAGCGCCTGCACCCAGGCAGTGCCAGGCAAAGCCTCCGAGAAGACCAGGTTTGAGGTCATTCACGACCTCCTGGAGGCCCAGGGGGAGGTGCAGACGGGCACGCACCATTTGCGGCTCGACAAAGCGTACCTGCGTTGTGACCTTTGCAAAGGATACGTATTGGCAAGAGCTGGGGAAGAAACCTTCCACCGTTTCCTTGGGGAGGTATGCCACCACGGACCCTTGGATCCAGCACTCTGGTTGGGACATCCAACCCACGAGATGTCAAGAACAGGCAACCTCCTGGAGTGCAAGAAGTGCCACCTCAGAGCGAGGTACAGCAATGGTCAGATCCAGCTCACGACGAAGCTCCGAGCGCCGTGTTCGAGGCCCCGCTCTGTCGACATCCGAACTTGGCTGGCATGAGACCAGCATCGAACTTCCACTGCGGAAAAGAGCCGGACAAAAAAAATACATACACATACATATAATACATACATATGCATACATATACATACCATTATATTACGTTACATTACATTACATTACATAAAGACATACATACATACACCAATACATACACCAATACATACACCAATACATACCATCACATACCATCACATACCATTGCATACCATTACATTACATTACATTACATTGCATTACATTACATTACATACAACCATACCATTACATTGCATAACACTGCATAACATTACATAACATAACATAACATTACAAAATTTTACATAACGTAACATAACACAACATAACATTACATTACATAACGTTACATAACCTTACATGACATAACATTACATAACAAAACGTAACATTAAATACCATTACATAACAGAACACTACATTATAATACAATACATACATACACAGTAAGTTGTTGGTGCAGTGCAGCATGGTCGACATTCGAAACAAGTCAGTTTTCGTGGCAGGCGCTAGAAGTGGAGGAAATAGTGCAGATGTTTTTGGCACTGGAGGGGGGAACAGAACAAACAATAAAAGCCACAGAAGCAACACAAACAGAAAAGCAAAGGAAACAAAGCAAAGACCGGCGCCCAAAGCAAAAAATGCAAGAAAAACAAGCAAAAGCAAAGGCAAACACCAAAAGCAGAAAAGCAGCAAAATCAACAAAAGCAAAAGAAACAAAAAGCAAATCTGAAAAACTGCATGAAAAAATAAAAAATCACTAACGAATGTCCATCCATTGTATAAAGGGTGTAATGTTTGGCATCACCTGCTACAAAAACACTACTTGAAATCTAGCTGGAGCTGAGAAGAGGAGATGTTCATGAAATAGGCAATGCGCGTGAACTTGTTTCCTCCTGAAGACTGGAACAAGAGTCGAGAGAGTGTAACAAATCAAAATTGTGCGATTTCCAGCTTCCTTGAAGAACATTGTCTTGGACTTTGTGAGTGCATCGACGGACTAAGAATCAGAAGAAGCCCTTTCATGGAAAATGTCTTGAAAATGTCTCTAGAAATCTCTAGAATAAATGTTTGGTTGAAAACACCTTGGTGTCGATCGTTTCAGGTATGAGTCCAGGTGGCGTTATCGTTCATGTTACGTACGTGTTGATCGTTTTCCATGGAAAAGATATGATATGGGAAGGAAATGAGAGGTTCGAGAACAGGATTAGGACATGAACTGCTGATTCAAGTAGACGTGCAGATGTGTAAGGATCAACTCAGCTGACGGAGTCATTTGGTGAAACATTATATAAAGCAAGGGCAAGAACTACGATTTGCCCCACCTCAACTCTGCCCTCTGCCTCCAAACATCCAAACAAGTCACCTTTCTAGCAAGCACGTGTTCTGTCACTAGACCCTCAGCTAAAAAGTGGAACATAGAAGCCTAGCTGAGGTGAACTTCAGTCCAAAACTTATGGCAGGCCTGCTGCATACTTGGAAGTTTGCTGACTGAAGACACCAGCAAAATCCACATATACAACCCATTGCGTGCATTGTAAATACATGAATCGAGTTCTACTTTGTGTTTAAATCTTGGCCGGATACAAGTCTGCAAATCTGGCGACTTCAGAAGCATGCGTTTCTGCAAGTTGCTAAAATGATGCCATACCCAGCTGACAGTGCAAGTGTGGGTTATATTATATATCCTTTCACCGCTTGACCACGGCAGTTCTTCTCACCCTTTCTGAAGGTGTCATTTTGATCCTTCATGACACAAACCACCCAGTTTGCTCTGCACCAGACCATTATGTACCCCTGTTCCCTGCTCTTTCACCTCGTTGGCTCAGAGTGAGCCTTTGATTATTTAAAGTGAAAGGACAGGTTTTTTGACCTTCTCAAGGTCCTTAATCATTGATTCGGTAACCGTCTTCAAACACCATTTTATCTGGCAAACCATTGGAGCTCTTTTCAGGAGGGTGTTTCACGAATTACTCGGGTCGGTGGAGGCTTCCACTGAAGGATCCAAGGACAGCTACGGGGCAAGAAAAGGATGCCAAAACAACACGGTTCAGCTCGTTCACTTCGGACCTTAAGCAAGGTCTAAGGTGGCAGCAAAAATGTTCAGAATGATGAAGTGCATCTGAGATTCTTGAAGTGATACAGTGAAAGGGAGATGCTGAGATGTAAAAAAGGAGAAACAATAGACACATGGCGGTGCATGGAGATGCAAACGGAGGCATACAAGGATTGGTTCACTCTGGTCGTAACTTCTACAGTTCGCCGGTTGGTCGTTTGGAATTGTGGCAGGTGCTTGGGCACAAGAACAACATTGCAAACAATGCATGTCTATTAGGAACAATTCTGTCTTTGTATAACTTAGGTCTTGCTTTACTCGCTTTTCATTTGACTTGAAAGCAGCGCTGCAAAACACAGCCAAACAGTGAACGGCAGTCCTCTCCGCCGGTCGCCAGAAGTTCTGAGTTTGTTGGGCAAACAGCGACTGTTGTAACCTTGGCAACCCGATTGAAGGGTGCAAAATCAAATTCATTGAAATAGAGACATGACCGAAGGGTATATATATATATATACACTTAAAGTGCGCGGGTCAGGAGGATATCCCTGTGCTGCAACTTGGTATTCATATGTAAAAGTGTATATATATATATATACACATGTCACTCATGTCACGTCACATGTTAAACGTTCTGCTTGAAAGCTTGTATATGAAACACCGACCGACAGCAAAGAC